GATGTTCCTTTTCAAATCAAAAGTTAAGTCTTCGTTAGAAGTGCACTTAAAAATCCTGGAAGGCCAGTGAAATTAAATACTAGTTTGGAATTAGCTGAAATATATTATCTATCTTTTGGGTTTTGTCAACAGCAAAATCAGATAGCTTACTTATTATCATAGGTTATATCAACCTCGCATTAAAAAATGACAAGGATTTCATGATTTCAAGAGACTCCCAAATTAAAAGAAAAATGAAGATTCTTGGATTAAGAGACAACAAATTACGAACAAATTAAGAGACAACAATTACGAAGAAGAGGCAAATATACATGCCCCAGGATAATGTTGCAAGATTAAATCTGGGTCAATCACTGGAACCAGAGTGTTAACTCGTAAAGCATTCCTGGCCTGGTCTTGAGTTGCCATAGGAGGGAGTGGGGGGAAGAACTGATGGAGCAGCTCAGTTGCTATGACCAGAAGCACATTCCACGCATACTTTTCTCCAGATTGTGTCCCAGGTTACCAGAGCTAGCCAGAGAGGCGTGTTTTCTACAGCCCAGGAAAATGCTTCAGTTGGAGAATGTGATTTATGACACACCCTGGGAGGAATGGGGAAACAGGGTCATAGGTGGGCAGTAAATTACATGGGGCAGAGCCAACTGCACTTGGGAAAGTGCCGACATATTGCTCCTAATAAATAATTGGATTTCTTTTGAAACTTGGCTCGAGGCTTGTGAATTAATTAGGGCATCCATCAGAACCCTGACACAGATATTTACACTTCCATTAGGAATGTACTCCATAAATACAGAATATCCCAAAAGGGCATATTCCAGTAAAGAAAAGTTCCTTGAGGATGGGCTCCTGAGATGAATCCATAAGCTCAGAAAACTAAAACTCTGGTCCTAGTGACCAACCCAGATTGGATCTTGCAACAACAACAAACAACAACAACAACAACGATTGCAAAGGAGAGGGCTAGAAGATATCATTTTCTATGGTTTACAAAAAGAAAAGTAGGAATTCAATTGATTTATACCAACCATCAGAATGAGATATAGAGGACAGTTAGTCATACCAATCGGAAATGTTAAAAGTTCTGTACAGATTACTTTCTCAACCAATATAATATGAATGCAATATTGTGAAAATCTAGAGCAATTATGTTCCAAAAATTGCTAGGGAAGGTTAAGAACCTCCTTATTACTGCTGATCATCCAAAGTGAGTTTAGCAAACTTATCAATTCCAGTAAGCAAACTTGACATATTTATAGTTAGTATACTTTGGGATCTTTAGAAACTCTTCATGTCATTATGGGAGGTCAGAAACATTATCGTGTTGAGACAAAATCAATGAAGAGCTCTATCTAATTTTATTTTCAACATGGATTATGTTCACCAGCTGAATTGGTTAATGGAGAACATTTAGTTATATGTTAATGTTACCAATGAAACATTAAACTTTTGAAGTGTGTTTGAAAATTAGAAGCTCGGATTGATAGTTAAACTGTTGGTTTGAGCTTCGAGCTCGGCATTTGGTTGCAAACGTTTCACCACCATTCGAGGAGACCTCATAAGTGAATTTTGAATTGTGCTTGTCTGTCAAAACATACCGTGTTTCTCATATAATAAGGCCGGGACTTATTTTTTCTTTGAGCCCGAAAAAACAGCTAGGATGTCTTTTCGGGGGTGACTTAATTCCCCCCCTTGCATCCTCGGGCAGGTGAGTGGCGACAACTTGGATGTTGACCTTGGCATTGGTGGGACACTTCATATCGGGAGACCTTCCGCCACCATTGCTTTCCCTTCTCCCTGTGCAGCTGTGGCATTTGGAACAACGCTGCAGCGTTTGGCGCAGCCAGGCGGCATTTGGTGCAGCCACATGGGGCCGGCCAGGGCTCCTCCCTGCAACCGGAGCCCAGTGGAGAAACTCTCCCAGTGGCCCCTTCGGGGTTGGGCTGGAGAGACTTGGGAAGCCAAGCTCGGGTCAGCCCAGCTCTTTCGCTTGGCAGGCGGGCGCACACCCACGGCTCGCTTTCTGGGCTCTGCCCAGCCTGCCCAGCTCTGGCGCGGCTCTGGTGGGATGAGCAGGGAGGCGCTCACTGCCTTGACCAGAGCTCCGCCGCTGGGCAGGAGGGCCCACCTGTCAGCTGCGCTGGGCGCCCCAGGTGAAGCTCTTCATGCTCTGCCCGGCGCCAGGCAGGGATGGCGGCTGGGAGCTTCTCCCGGGGTGAGCCGATCCTGCACTGCAGCCTCGGGAGATTCGCCTCCCTGCCTTCGAACGATGCCTGGGAAGGAGGCGACAGGAGCTCCTGAAGCCAAGTGTTTCCACTGGGCTCCAGTTGCAGGGAGGAGCTGGCCATGCATGGCTGTGCCAAATGCCGCATGGCTGCGCCAAACACCGCATGGCTGCGCCAAATGCCGCAGTGTTGCTCTAAACGCCATGGCATTGCTCTAAACGCCGCGGCAGCATGGGGAGAAGGGAAAGCAAAGGTGGCAGAAGGTCTCCCGATACGAAGTGCCCCACCAATGCCGAGGTCAATGCAGGCAACACCATATCCGGGTATGCAACAAAAGTACTTCCTAACGGCAAGCCCCCCGCCATTCCCCCCCATTTTGCATGTTTTAATATAGGCCTTAATTTGGGGGGAGGGGCTTTATTTCATTTTATGCCTATAAAACATGCTGGGACTTCCTATTGGGGGAGGCCGTATTGTTGGAGAAACACGGTAAGTCTTTCAATATCTTTATATTTCACATGAAAAAGGTAAAAATAATGTTTAAAAAGGTATTTAAAGGCCAGTGTTCTGACAGTTGTGCACAATTCAAAATGCACTGGTGAGGTCTATGTGAATGGTGATGAAACGTTTGCAACCAAATTGCTATACTTGGAGCTCAAACCAACCACTTTATTAAACCTTTCGAGGGAGGGATGGTTTGATGCACATTCTGAAGCAATTTGTTCCCTACTGAGGCTAATATAGAGCTGACTCCTTGTAC